TATTTATTATTACTTAAATTTTATGCATACATTACCACAAAGTAAGTCTAATATGTCTAGTTATATTACTTTTTGTTGCAGGTTGATTATGACGATCCTCAGTATCCCGCATGGTTTCGCGAATTACTTCAAGGTCCAGTTGCAAAGGTCACTACATCATCGATGTATTTCACCCGAGGCTATACTTTTCATACCTATGCTATGGTAGACACCGGGCGACAAGTAATTATGGAATATGTGTGAAAGGCGAAACAGATTTCTACGGGATCTTGCAGGAGATTTATGAAGTTCAATTCCCAGGTATGAGTTTGAAATGCGTTATCTTCAAGTGTGAGTGGTACGACCCCGTCGTCAACAGAGGTGTTTGGATTAACAAGAACGGTGTAGTTGATGTCAATGGTGGACGAAGGTACAACAAATTCTTTTTTGACATACGTACATGCATGTTCTGAGAACTAATAATTTCTCCGTTGTCTTAATTTTTGCAGGTACAACAAATTCGAGCCTTTCATATTAGCTTCCCAAGCAGATCAAGTTTGCTTCATTCCATACCATCAGATTACTACAACGGGAATAAACTGGTTAGCTGTTATCAAAGTGACACCTCGAGGACGGATAATCGAGGGAGAAGAACCACCATTACAAGAAGAAAACACCAATGAAATCGAGGAACCTGAAGCAGAAATTGATGACATCCTGCTCATTGATCCGCATAATCGTGAATACGAAGATGTTCCTGATCACTCAACGGACGACGGTGTTGAGGAGGAGTTTGCCGAAAATGATGTTTCTACGGATTATGAGAATGTATCCGAATGAATTATGTATGTTTTATAAGTTTGTTTAATCACAAAAACCAATTTCAATTATGTATGTTTTATAAGTTTGCTTAATAACAAAAAAAATGAGTTAAGGAAGTTGTGGTTTGGGATTTAGGTGTAGAAGAGGTTAGGAGTTAAGGAAGTTGTGGTTTGGGGTTTGGGGTTTCAAGTTCAGGGTTTTACAAACCCTTTCCTCGTAAGCCCTAGTAAGAGAAAACACGGGCATAGCTATTTCCTCGTAAGGTCCTAATAACATCATTACTAGGACTTTACGAGGAAAAAAACGCGGGCATAGCTACTTCCTCGTAAAGATGTTTCCTCGTAAAGTCCTAGTAAAGGTGTTACTAGGACCTTACGAGGAAATAAAAACACGGGCATAGCTGTTTCCTCGTAAAGCCCTAGTAACATTACTAGGGCCTTACGAGGAAACAAAATTCCTTATATATACACGAGCAATCCGATTTCTCACTCATAGTAACCTCCTCTCCAAATTCTCTTAAGGTACTCTCTGTTTCCTAGTTAGGTAATTAGATTAGCGAATTTAGATTAAGTGGTTAGATTAGGGAATTTAGATTAGGTGGTTAGTTTGGGAAATTTAGATTATGTGGTTAGTTTAGGGAATTTAGATTAGGTTAGTTTAACTGTTTTTAAAAATGATACGAGAATTAATGTTTTCTGTTTTTTTTTTTTTTAATTTAGATGGTTAGAAAGAGCAAAGCTGCTGCTGCTGAGGCCAGGAGGCCTCTTGATCAGGGGATTCACTATGGAGATCTATTCGGGCCCGGTTCATCTTCGTCAGCTCCCGGTGGTTCATCTTCGGGAGTTCCCGAGATTCAGGGAGGTTCTACGACATCCCGGTCTCAGCAGCCACCACCACCTCCTCCTCCTCCTCCTCCTCCTCCTCCTCCTCCTCCTCCACCGGTCGGGATTCATCCTGATTTGCAGGTGCTG